TGTGATGTAAATTGTGTCTGAGGTGTTGCTAATATCCCTGTGAGCACATTTGAGCAAGATTTAGCAAGACAAGAAGAAATCTGTACTTTGCTATTCACTGTAAAAATTAGGAAGGTGTCAGCTTCCTACATTGTGCCTTCAACAAGAAAAAGAAAAGACAAACAACTTTAAAAATGTATGATTAAACTGCCGATGGCCTTTTTTGCGTTGCAGAAAAAGACCCATTGTAACTCATCAATAAACCACAGAGAACTAAGAAATTGAATAAAATCAGCAGAGGATTTTGAAATGCCCCAGGAAAAAAGTCTGCTGTGCTTTTTTTTTCTTTTTTGGGCTTAGTCTAAGAGGTCTAAATCTTGTGGTAAGGTAAAAAGTGAAGGGTAGAGAGACGCTGGTTTTGGCTGCTTTAAGTAGGCCTGGCTTGCATGTGGCTAGGAGCAACCACTGCTCTGGCAAACCATTTGGAAATACCGTGCATCACACAGTAATAAGGCCCATATAACACATTACTTCCAGTCTGGAAGTTTATTAGTCTCCATGTTCCTTATTCACCTTGAACTACTTTTTATGACTAAAAAACCACAGGGAGTTATGCATATTCAAATACATGGATGTTATGTGTGAATCTAAATAAGGCAAGAAACTTCCTTGTCAAAAATCTACAAGTTTATATTTCTTCTCTTTTCTTTTTTTTTTTTTTGAAAGAACAAAAGTCTAGCTCACACTGAAGCCATGCTGGGACACTGATTAATCTTTTGACCTCAAAGTGGGAAACCAAAACACAGCCTACCAACAGAGGATACGTATTCATGGGGGACTGAGCCAATTTACACATTAACTACATATACACAATTAGTAAAGAGTGAATCACCTCACACTTTGTTAAAAAAAATGGCTTTCCCCTCTGGCCCTCTGAATAGCCATTTGTGTTCACTTTACTTTCAGAGTTGTTCTTTTTTGACTATATTTGCTTTGTTGATGATGTAGAATAACATTTTCCGTAGGTCTAAATTTGTTTTAGAATTTGAACCAGTTGTCTCCATTGTGGCCATTTTGGCTAATTAAAACTCAATGAAAATGTTATTCTTGATCCTTTGTAATTAACAGTCTTAAATCATTCCATTTAGGTAAAACAGCTTTACACTAAACTCAACATTGGAAGTATTTCGTAATCTTTTTTTTTTTTTTTTTTTTTTTTTTTTCCCCGGTTTTTTTTCCCATATGGGAAGGGGGTTATTTTCACTTTTTTTTTTTTTTTTTGATATTAGG